CTCCCCCCCCCCCCCCCCCCCGCCTCAGTTTCTCACCTCTCTGTGCTCCTCTCGGCTAAGTGATACTTCCACAGCCCTTTTTTCCCCCCCTCTCGTCGCTTCTCTTCTCTTCTCTGGCTGCTCACCCTCCTCACCCTCGCCGTTCACCATGGTGAACAGATAACCGCCCGGCCGTGCCGAGACCATGGGTGCCTGCCTCTGCAAGGGTCACAAAGGTCAGTCCACCTGTCTGCGTGGCGTGTTTTAGTTTGTTTTTTAAGGCTTGGCTCAACCAGAGGGACGAGTCGACGGCAGACAGGGAGGATCGCAGTGCAAACTTTTGAGGGATAGCTGTCTGGGGTAGAATTTAACATGGGAAGAACCAGAACAACTTAGAATTCAAAAAGTGCCTCTGTTCTATGGCTGACTACAGGTTAGTCATGTGCTCACTGCAGAGATGGAGAGCAAAAACCATCCCCGGTCTGTTTACTGTGGAGCTCCTTCATAGGAATAATAACCGTGAAAATGGAAAATTCTACCACAGAAATGCCAATATGAAAACTTATTTCCCTCTACTCTCCTGCAGCCGTTTCTCGCCAGGTTGCTTTTGCAACACGACTCGGGGATGGGAGGTTCATGATGGGGATTGTGTGGATCATTGGAGGACAGCAGAGGCTTTTGTGTGATACAGCTTCGTCTGACTCTCATCCCAAACTTGTCGTGACTTGAGGATGTGACCGGCGTAGCTATGCTCTCTTTTATTTCCTGCTTCACTGAGGAATAAGTGTACGTTGCCCCTCAGCTGGATGCAGGGCCTGGTTCAGGAAGAAAAGAAGCAATTTTTGCCATCGGAAAAAAACAGGCGCTGGCATTGAAAGTCAATCCCAGCTTTGTTTAATACAACAATCGTCATGTTAATTTATGATAACTTGACATTTAACAAAATAGCACAGACTGAGCATGAGATTGTGATGTAGGGACAAAATATTTTGTAACACAGAGTCTGCATAATTCCGATTAACAAGGTGGGTGCAGTTCTTTTAAGATGCAGAGAGAGAAAGCAGCTGTGAGGTGTCAAACCAACAGATAAGAGAACAGCAGAACCTTATCGAGTGAGAGTCATGGTGGGTTTTATACCCTCACTGACAGCGGCTTGGTTAAGGGATCGTGACGGGGTTTCTTGACCTGCTTGATGGGGCCAGGGATCATATACAGCCTCTAGCACCGATATGTGTCCTGATCTGCGTGTGCATGTTGGTGTGTGCTGGGCACCGTGACGTCAGTAAATGGACGGATGTCACTCGCTCACCGTTGCTTCGGGGTTACCATGGTGACAGCCAATTGTCTTGACACCGCCTCCCCCGGGAAACCCCAAACGTGCGTTTGTGTTACAATGCGTGTGTTTGTGCGTGTGTGTGTGTGTGTGTCTGCTGACCTTTTGAATGGCTGTAATCCTCCATTACAGTGGCTCGCCTTTAATTTCCTCTTGTCATTCAAATGAGCCCCATCACCATCAATTATAAGGCAAACAGGCAGAGTGTGAACCCATGCAAAGCTAGATATGCAGAAGAGCTCGGGTTAAATGACTTTTATGGGATTCAAAGCACTATCTCTCTCAGCCTCTCATCCATTTTATATGATCCTTGCTTGACCTTTGGCCACATGTATGTAAATCTGACATTGGTGTTTTTTGTGTGATTCCCAACAGAGTTTAATATTCCCCTGTCCGCACTGCACCAAACTGAAGAAAGTCAGTCACCTTCTAGCAAGGTATGTAATGAGCCCCCCAATTTCACTCTGTGGGCTTTGTTCCCTTCAGGGTATTTTTTCCTCTAATTTTGATCCATAATGACAACACGACTTTCACCTGTAAAAATGACTTCACTTCATACAAAAGAAAAAAAAAAAAAGAATAGGAGCAGATATGGTGATTATGATGAAAATAAAGGGCAATTTCATGTTAGCTGAGTTCTGAAATAGCATTTTTCATTGATTTGTACGATTCGATTTTTTGGTGAGTTATTCTCTTTGTACCAGCGTCACCCCACAGCAGGAGGTCGTTTTGTCATTATTTGAACTTAACTGATCAAAATTGGCCAAAGTCCTTTGAATTTCAGATGGGAGGCAACTCCCTCCTTTGACAATATTTACTAAAAAACATATAGTTTGTGTATATGTGAAGAAAAAAATAAAAATGAATTGTGTAACCGTTTCACAATTAATTTCACTCAATTCTGCCTTTTGGGCATATATTTCAGTTAATGATATGCATTTTTTGGAGTAAGATTATTTTACTCTATATCAACATGAAATTATAAACATTTTTACATGATCAGATATTTCCTATACATACTCTACACATTCCAATTAGTCCCACAAATAAGAAAAAGGGGATGCTGAGAAGCCTTCAATGGTCATCTCGCCAAAAGCTAAATTGAGTAGAAAGACTTTTAATAATGAAATATCTTATGTGAATGAAGAACTAAAAATGAATGTGACCACACGAGAGAGACGGTGACTCCTTAGAAAGCCCTGACAGAGATTCTATTTTCCAGCTGACAGCGAAAAGTTCATTTACATTCATGAGTAAAGCACCACCTGTATTAGGCAAAAGGAGTGGGCTTGATTAGTTTTGAGTTTTCATCTCCCCTTCGTTTTCAGAAGGGACAAAGGGTCCCCCTTCCCACTTGTTATCAACAATAAGAGGCAGAGAAGTCCAAGCGGTGCCACTGAGACTAAAGAAAACTGTCCACTTCATACTGGAAGCATACACTGAGCTCTGACCATTGTATTTGCCCCATACAGGGGACCCTGAAGACTTTGTGTTCAGCTCAAGAATACCAAATGAGGAGACATTTATTTGAAAGCTGCTCTTGTTTGCAACTCATTGAGACCGAATTAGAAAACTGCAGAATTTTTTTGTCTGCTTCTGTTATAATCATCATGTTACCTCACAGAGAATAGAGAGGGGAATGTGTAGGCTGAACCATTACACACAATGTGATCGTTAGAGGGGGGTATGTTGGTCATAACTTGGCCATATATCGTCAAACTTATGCACAAACCTGCGTGTAGTGGATTTGCAGTATTTGGATGGAAAAATACGTGTTTTGGCTGAGGTTTTCAGTCCAAAGACTATAGTCTGGGTCTGCCAACCCCACACCCCTAGCAGTCCAGACTGTCCTGATCCATTGTCTCCCATTGGGGGTGGAACTATGAAGTTCTACCAAATAAGGGACACCCCTTCAGTTTCTGAAGGCTGGTACTGTCAGAAACTCTACTTTTTTACAGTTCCTAATCTCATAATAAATAAACCACTAACTATGCTTATCATCCGTACTTCTTGCTGATTTTTTTCAGTTAGCATCTGCTAAATGCATGAATGAAACTTGAGGTGAGCAGAGAAACACACCTCGTTAAAGACTTGAGAAGTAGCAACTTCCTAACAAATGTCTACAGTAAAAAATAACACAATTGACTTCAGGAATGTCTAGGAACCTTTTGCCTTGCATCAGTGACAATTCTTCTTGTTCATCAGGCTGGTGAGGATGGACCGACTCCCTCCAATGGCAGCGTGGCTGATAAAAGCAGCCGCTATGACATCGCTGAGCTGGCTACATCCTCTCTCATTGGTGAGACACGCTAATTTGAGACACATTTTTAATGGAAACATGCTGGCCATCAATGGGCTCTTTTGTGGTCGACATAAAACTGACATAAAGTAGAGTACCTTTTTCTATTTAATTGGAGAATTATCTCAAGTGGAAGGAATGCCTTAAATAAAAATACAGTGGTTCCAAAGGCATCATGACCTCCATGAGCAGGAAAGTGGTGGCAGCCTCACTAAACTCCTGGCAGATTTTCCCGTCGTAAGCTGACTGAGAAAGTTCATTTTCTACTTAAGAAGGAAGTGCCACCTTATTGAGGAGTAAATTAGACATAAGGAGTGGGACTGATTAGGGTTTTTTTTTTTGTGGGATGAAGGCTGTACCATCTTAAATGACCATTAATCAGAGACGGAGAGGTGCCACCACTGTGGCTTTGTTCAAAGGAAATTGTCCAGTGTGGGTTTATAATACAGGCGCCATGCTCTGATGTCTGACTGTTTTATTTGGGCTATAATGATGACGAGCTTGATGACTCAGAGCGCTAAACCCAGTTAAATCCATTTGAATTAATGATTACATTTACTTGGGTGCAAACACAGAACACATTTAGAATGCCTTCTGTTCATGCTGTGTGTCGCCGACGGTGTGTTTCAAAGCATTTCAGGCTGGGAAAATTGCTGTTTGTAACAATGGCAGGTTGGCAGAGTAATTTAACTCCCTCCTGGAACTTTCCTCAAGATACATAAACACACACCAACACACAGACATATTTGCTTCCACCACCACCGTATTTTCTCCTCCACCTTCACGTCTGCCTTCCTGCTCAGCTTAAATTAGCGCCTGATCTTCTTTTTCCACATCCTGTGTCTGCCTGCGTCATCTTCAGAGCCTCTCTCGCTCTGAAGGTTCATTACTTCGCGTATGCCTCGCTGAAGTTTTCCCTGTGAAGGCTTCTTCATTAGGCTGACAGCCTAATAATGAAGAGCATGAAAAACGCATAATTAAGTTAGACAAAAACAGGCATTCAGCAGGTGGCTGAGCAGCTGACACCTGATCACAGAGTGACAGGTTCAATCCAACGAAATATAAGGAAAAAAGTTCGTTAACACGCCTCTGCCCACACCAGATGCCATTCATGATTTAATGTAGCAATACAGCTCTACTGACAGCACAGCATCTTAAACCAAATCCCACTGAACTCAGACTTTAGATATTTAATGTTATTGTGCCTTAAATGGTTTTATTCCTTTGGTGAATGTCTGTTTTATAGGCATTTGTGGCTCAAATGATTACATTACCAGCAGGAATCTGAGTCTGAAATGTTAATTAGATTTAGAAATTTATTAGTTTTTTTTCATAGATGACGGGGCCTGATGGTAGCATGGATTTAATATAAGAGATTACATTTTGTGCCACCTTTTGTAGAAATACATCAATGTTAATTTTTTGGAAAATGAGGGGTATATAAACTTTGAACAAACTGAGGAAATACCACCATAACATTAGGTATAGAAAGAATACAGAAAATGTGAAGTCACCAATCCAGAATAAGACAACACAGACAAAAACATGAGATTTACCCTCAGGTGTCATCTTCATCAAAATGAATAAACTTTAGATTTGCTCTTTTGAGGCTTTTTCCCCTCTCGTATCGTAACTGCAGGCAGTTTGTTTGGACGCCAACAGATGAGAGTAAGAATGAAAGCTCTTTATGAGCACGAAAACTGTGGTAGAAAAATATATTCATTATGAGAAGAACAGTCTGAAATCAAACTGAAGCTCAAAAGCCTGAATTTGAAAAAGCAACCATATCCAATGCAGGATGAAAATCTCATCAAGACATATTTGGATTAAGCTGAAATGCAGTGATGTTTCTACAGCATCCTGTGTAAACACCTCCCAACAGCACCATGCTCAGCGACCTCCCAACGAGCTACTGTTTAGTACTGTTTAACTCCACTGTATCTAGACATTAACAGAGAAACTGCAGCCCAGAGAATACAGAGAGTGACTTTAACACATCAAAACAGGTCAAACGACATCGACCTATTGATGTGATCTTTTACAGTGCAACCCTGCATTATGGGCGGAAAGAAATTCTGATTTTTCTCCCTGCAAAAAAATGCAATTCACAAACAAACAAAAAGTCCTAAACCTTCATCGAGGGGGGATTTTGTAATAGATTTGTCTAACTACACGTGGAGCCATGTATAGGACAGATTTAAAAACCAGCTCAGGGGTGTTAAGTGGATGGACCATATGCGACAAAAGCAAGTTACATCACCACAAATAATATCTCCCAATAACGGCGTTGCTGCAAATGAAATATAAAAATTGAATAAGCCGAAGCAATTCTCTTTCTGTAGCTCAAAACGACCTCTGGCCTGAAAAAGTTTTTCTACAATAACTACATTAATGGCACAAAACCTCTTTCTGATATTTTGCATGTCTTCAACCTTAAGGGTGTCTGGACCGCTGTCATGCAAATTAAACTAATGTTTAGCCACAGGGGAATCCGAGTTTTTCTAATGCACAATGAATACATAATGATTCAGTCTTTAAGCCTCCTCTTCGTCCATACTGTGTAGTAGAAGAAACATGTTACACATTGTATAGTTTATTGATTTAAAGTAATACATTTTCTAATCTTCATGGGTCTCGCCTGCATTCCTTTATTCGAACATTCATGGCCAGTCACGCTTTTTAGTTACAACAATGATCAGTTCAGTTTTCTGTCATTATCAGGAGGCAGCAGGGTCACTTTGCTGAGATTAGAGCTTGAATACGTTCTGACTTCTTTAAATTTATCTTTCCATGATCTTCTACCACAAATATCTTCTTGTTCCTGCTCCAGTGCTCTTGTTCTGTCGTTGGAAGCTGATATTTATTTCAGTCTGCCCCCACCTTTTTGCATACTGTTATCGTGTGTTAGTGTCAGACTCTCCACAGAGCTGATAAAGTTCTTGCGCTGGTGTTTGCAATCACCCTGCATCTACTAAATATGGAACACCATGTGCTGTTTGTGTTGCCATAGCCGTCCTGTTCAACATAAAAAAACGAATTTTCTTTACAAACAAACCATCCGAACGAGAGTGGCTTAATCTATTCAATGAGAGGCTGGTTTGCACCCCATTCTTTTTTAAATAAGCAAGCAAAAAAGCCCTTTCCTGCTCTTTGCCAGCAAAAACAGACGGCTCTAACAGAGCCGGCTCTGTGTGAAGGCAGAGTGAGACAGCAGTGGGTTTCTGTGTACAATGAAAGAGAGCATGCAGGAGTCAAATGGAAGTGAAATGACTAGGATGTTTGCTTATCTGGGTTTCACAAGTCCCCGGATCCTTTAACACCATCGCTACCTTACCCTAAAATATTCTCTGGCTGATGGTTGTTTTTTTCTGTTCTCTTGTCTGACTTCCCCTCCTCGTTGTGACATTTTTCTCCTCTCTCTGCATCGACTATTGCTTTAACATTTTTCCCTCTGTCCCTTTTTTCAGACCTTTACCCTTTCAGCCTTTCTGTGCTTTTGTAACAGCTTAATTTTCTGCTCTGAAATACGGCCGCCGCATGCTGTCAATTTCACTTTTGCTCATCATTTTCTCCAGACCTTTCTGCCCTCGTCTTCTGTGATTATATGAAACGATGGCTTCCTTGTTGTTTAGCCCAGTGATTCTGCAGGTTATGAATTAAACATTAATGTAGAAAAGCAGGGAAACTGTGACTCACAGATTATGCTCAACAAGAAAGTCAATTTAGGATAAGATTCAGAGACTGACTTGTGCATTTGCTTTCATCTGAAAGATGGGGGAAAAAAATACATTTTCTACTCTTGCTCTCATAAGTAGAAGCTATGTTTTGCTTGTTTCAGTGCTGTGGAAACTCTGAGTTATAAATAATCACCACGGATGTTGAAAAAGGTTTTGATTTTTGATCGCATCTTTCATTCTTTGTCTCCTCAAAGGCAAAAGCAGAAATCTTGCCAATGGGCTTTACATCCTTATCACATTACCCCTGTTTCCTCCAATATCACACTCTCATTTTTGCTGCTCGCCCTTTTATCGAATTTGTTTAACGAAGATGTATCCCCTTCTCCTCCTCCTTCCCTTGTCCAGGTCTGGTGGCCACAATAAAGGAGCACATCACCAAGCCGACGGCAATGGCCCAGGGGAGGGTTGCCCACCTGATAGAGTGGAAGGGCTGGGGAGGCGGTGGGGAGCGCGGGGGGTGCGGGGCGGGATGGAGCGGATCCCGGGTTAAAGGAGGCGGCGGCTGGGGGGGCATGGGGGCCGAGCTGCATGAGGACGAACAGTTCTACTCCCAAATGACGGACGAGATCAAGGAGGCTCGCTTTGCTGCAGGTGAGACAGACGGATGAGTTTAATCCCAGAAAAAAGAAGATGTGATCCCTCTGACACTGTTCGTTTGATTAGGCCCGGGCCCCTTAAAATCAATAACCCCCAGGGGCTGCCTATGACAGCGACTCAAACGTGGAGAACTTATCGAATTTCGCTAAATTTGTGATGCTGGCAGAGCTTTGGAGAAGCACGGGCTTCTAAGAAAAGAAACGCTGTGTTGATTTGTTTTTGTTTCTCAGGCGTAGCGGAGCAGTTCGCCCTGGCCGAGGCGGCCATGAATATGTGGACCATGAGCGACACTTTAGAGCAGCCGTCCACCAGCTTACAAGGTTGGAGCTCACAGTCTTAATTTTCCATCATACTCTGCATGTTTTAAATAAACCCTGTACAGTCAAAAGGACCCAAATGAAACAGAGGATTGATAATAGTCCAGAGGTATTCATTTCAAATGTTTTGTTTATTGCTGACAAATTATAAGTTATAACAATAAATTATAACAGAAAAAGGGTAAAGATAAAGGTAAGATAAAGGAATACATTTTTTAAAGACTTAACAGCTTAAGGAAATGAAAGTGCAAATGAAAGATAAATGAAAATGATTGCAAATTATTTAACAAAGACTAAGCCATTTTGTGTGGAAAATTGTGACAAGTATGGAGAGATTTGGTTCTCTTGGGGTCCTTAATTTAAATCAGGTTGAGGCCCGGACTTTAGGATTTTACAGGATCTTTGCAACACCTCATATTCTTGTCTTTTTCAGACATTTTACTGTAGGTTTTCTGCTGTTTTTGGGATAATGTCCTATTGATGGCCCATTTTCAGCTGAGCTTTGGCCTCAGTGAGGGTTGTGGAGCTCCTGTGGCTGAAAAACAGCACAGAATCATTACACTCCACCAGTTGGTTTTCACCAAACATGCTGCTGTGTATACCTGCTCTTCACATAGATACTGGTGTTGTCTTTCCAAACAAAGGGAATTAAAACCTTCCCAGGTATTTAAAAGGCAAAAACTTCAGTTTAGCAGAGTTGCATACCTGTTTTTGGGCATCCAATTAGAAGCATCAGCCTCTGGCCCTCTGCATTATTAAGCAGCAAAGATGGACTCAGTTTTGTCACAGACCAATTCTGAATTTTGGATAAATACATAACGACTCCATGTAACATCCAATTTTACAAGTTAATTATGACAATAGGACTTTTTAAGTATTTTTCTGATATTCTAAAACTTTGAATTTTATAATATATTCATAATAATAGATCAATAATTGGGGAGAGTCGTTCAAGCGAGACACAAAGCATTTAGAAATGACTATCTCAACATTTTGAAAAACAGGTTGCTGCTTGTACGGTAAATTTAGAGCTGTGAGCTGAAACGAGGTGGCTCTCGTATAAATGTATTTTTACAGTTTGATTTCTCGTGTGTGCATGTGTCGTATTGCCTTACTGTATCGTCTTCTATCAGCCTGACTAAACCGGGCTGCCATGCTCTGTGAAACATGTTTAACACACACACTGGTGTCCATCCACAGCAGTGCAGAGCCACTTCCTGTCCCAGTTCCTGCTTGACGGGGGAAGCGTTGGCGTTCCACAGCATCTGTACAGCATTCACTCCCAGACTTATGGCAACAGCGGTCCCAGCACGCTTGTCCACCCACCACCGGTCAACTCATTGTTGCCCCCATCTCACGCTCAGGTGGATGGAGATCCTCCTCTTGAGGACAGAAACACAGTGACTGCTGAAGCTGCCGTGCGACACGTAGACAGCAGCTCGCTGTCAGAGGACGATGTTTTTTACAACTAGACGTCAACCAGCAATCTCGATGTTATCATTTAAAATAGACTCTCCGAGAGGACATGAGTCTCACCAGCAGCGACTGAAGCGTAAAACATAAAAGCAGAAATACACAAGCCTTTTGAAGAGGAATTCTTCAGCAACAAGGTGTTTAAGACTCGACTTTCAGATAAAAAGACTCTTACTAGTTTACTCCCTCGGTTTAGATGTCTAATTCTGTGAATGTACATTGTTTAACTGCAACTTTGCAGTTTTTTTATTCCACATACTTCGCGCACTGAACTGAGCTATCAAGAGCTGAAAGATGCAGGTGTAAATATGTCACCGTAAAGCATTTGTTTTTTTAACTGTATGTACTTCTGAAAGGTTACCTATTTGGTTTCGGAGTCTTTTTCCTCAGATGCTGAGGGATGAGTGGCTGAGGAGATGAGTTCGGTTAGGTAACGATGACATAAGGAAACTGAATATGTGTCTCCTTTTGTATTTCTCGACTGGAGAGAAGGTGAAAACAGTACATCCAATTATCTGTCTGAGTCTGAACTGTGCAATTTAGCTGCAATTTACACCTTTTCATCTGAGAACCACAGGTGTAAGGGGGGGGGGGGGGGGGGAAAAGCCCAAAAAAAACACAAAAAGAGGGAGGGGGGGCTTCCACTTTTCTGCATGTACGCCATTAATGTGAGTGTTAGTGTGAAAGACGGATGTTGAATGAGGGCGTTAGTTCTACCTGTCATGGTATTCTTTCACTAAAAGTTTACACAAAATGATGTACACTTGCGTGTTGTGGCTAACGGCCCCTTGTTATGTGGGTGGGACTCTGAATGGGGTTCAGGCACAGTGGATGGAACAGAACAAAGAGCTGTGTGCGGTGAACACGCACCAGTCGTCCAAATCCTGGGAACCGAAACGAGGATCTACCTTTTTGGACCCCTCTTAGGAAGAGTTGATTTGGGTGCCCGTGTAAGATTACAAGTTTAGAAAATCGACAAAGAATGACTAGAACCAACAAAATCCTGATGATAAGTCTGATAAGTTGCTTGATACTTGCGAGCAATGGAAAAATTGCAGCTAAACAGGGAGCAGAAGTAGATGAAGTGGGATTTATCCCCACAAAGGGACAAACAACCTTTTATTGAAAAATTTAGCAGAGCAGGATTTAGATGGTTGGCTTATATCTATGATGTTCAACTTCAAAGTAATATATTTTTTGACTGTTACAAAGGTTAGACTGGACTTTAAACTGTGTATTTTAACCCAAACTATGAGTCTTTCTTAACCTTTTATAATGACATTCAAATGTGAAAACACACAAAAGAGAAAATCAAACATATAATGATGACCTTAACCTGAGCTCAAACTCAGACCTCACTGTTCAAAATCATGACAGGGGAGTTATCACTTACAGAGTAGATATTGAGTCGACTGTGTTATTTAGCAGGATAGATACAAAGACGGATTTTAGTTCAGCAGGCTTTGTGTTCATACTAACTGAAAATTAGGAGACCCACTTATCGTGATGGCAAGTCAGATCAATGAACAAGAGAGCGTTATCTTCCCACTGCTGCTAATTTCAAGAAAAGGCAAGACAATAAGCTCTGATGAATGTTTATCACCTAAACCACCAGTTTATGACAGTTTTGTTTATGTGCAAACTTTGTGGCTCATTGGGAGTGAATGAGCAAATTCATTATCAGTCCCAGGCTTTGTTACTTTCTAATCACACTTATGAGCACTCATAGGGGCTTTAAAAACATGGGAAGCCTTGTTTCCTTTGCGATGCCTCTTAGATTTCTTCAGCCAAGCTTTCTATTATTCGCTTCATCTGCCAAAGAAAAGAAGAGGGAAATAATAAAAGATAAAGATGATGCCAGCTTTTTCTCCTGGGCCCTGCCAAACTAAACAAAACAAGATTGTTTGTGTATTTGTAAAAGCAGCAGTTCATAATGAAGGTTATATCAAAGTTGTGAAAAGAAAATGGGAAACTCCTGCAGACATTTGTGGGTGAGTGAATGCATTACCTCTGCCCACGTGACATGCCCAACCAGTCTTCCTTTGTCTGCCACAAACAAGGACTGAGCTCCAGACAAACTCAAGACTCTGTAGGCCTGGAGGAGCGAAGGAAAACAATCCCACACAACAGCTTCAAAAAGGTCCGTCAGACTGAGAAACGTGCTCACTGATTTCTCTTGGATAAAAAGAAAAACAACATGTCACTGCTGTTCTTTTCACTTTCACTTACTGACCACTTGGGGTCAGCGTAAAAAAAGTAAACACAATTACACAAATATCCAACCATTTTTTTCTTCTTCTTCCATTTTCGGGCCACACATCACATGGCCAGACAGAGACAAAAACACACCCAAATGAACTATTTGGGTGTATTTTAGAGTCACCAGTCAGCCTAAAATACATGTTTTTGGATGGTGGGAGGAAACCGGAAGAAATCACACAAAGATGAAAAGCGTTGCTAGATCTTGTTTACCCTGGAAATGCAAATTTACTCACTATTTGTTCCACTTGCAGCCCTACATTTCCTGAAATAAAGCTAAAAGACACCCTGTGATCACCATCTAGGACGGCCATATCTGATTGCCGTGTAAATTGTGTAAATTCAGTTTTTATTGCTTAGACCAGCGTCCTGCTGCGGCTGAAATGATGCAGTCAAAGTATCAATAAATGCATGGGCCACACAGCTAGGAAAATGAGGAGAAACCTGCTATAAATCTATTTCTCTATATGTTGATCACTGCAAGTGGCGCCATTTTTTCATATAAACATCAGTTGATTTAAATGAAGAAGACTCTGTGGAACTGAAAAGAATCAGTAACTTTAATAAACTTGGGATATTGTTGTTAAACTTTGCCTGCAAAATCTATTTCAATTTGTATGCTAAATGCAAGTTGATTTTTCTCCCAGACACAGATTTATACCAGAGGCGAGAGTTCTATCAGTCTTTGCAACCAGTTTAGTTTTACCCTTATCTCAAATACATGCCAATTATTTTTTTTAACATTTTGAAGCTCCATACCTCCTCGACTGTAGTGTGAGGTGACAACATGACTGAGGCTGGGTGAATGCAGCAGACCTCATCCAGAGTTTCCTCCATACCCTGAAAAAAAACACCCTAAATGTCACAAAAATCCAAAACACAGGGCAACGTAAGCATTATAGGCTCCTATCCACTTGAAAGTCTGTTTTCATACTACTGTGCTATTAATTCTTGACCATGGCTGCAATTCCATGAATAAATTTTGAGATGCAAACTCCTCAATTTCCCTTCTATCATTTCAGAGCCGTCATAAACTGAGCTTTATACGTGTGTCCAACCTCTTACCTGAGCTGAGCAGTGACGCAGGAACATCTGCAGCTCTGATCGCAGTACAAAGCCCAGTAACTTCTGTGACTCTTCAACAGAAAAGAACACAGGATGTCATTCTTTTCCTCCACAGACAGTGTTAACATTTAAAACATGTGTGCAGCCTTCCAGTGGATTCGAGTCGTGTGTTCCACACAAATTTAGCATTCATCCACGATTATTATGGAAAGGTTCTGCTCGGCAATAGACCATTTTCTCAAAAAAGCCTCCTCCTCAGTGGGGCATTTTCACACCGCTTTTCCATAATTTTTCATAATGTCTTTTCATCTTTACAGTCTTTTTTCTTTAGCGACTCTGTGCATGCCCATAATGGTGATAAAATAAGCTAATTTATTAAAGCATGTTCAGAATTTTTTAAGGCAGTAAAGTACCTATGAGTTTATTTCCATTTTATGGAAGGTTAAGTTTAAATACTAGCATAAAATGCAGGGGATGGTGGTAAATATACCGTGTGAGTCCACCACTGGGATTTGGGCATCAGTGCAGGTGTTGACAGCCAGCTGAACCTCCGCCGGCCCGGCAGCTTTCTGAAGCCGCACCCATCCCGTTCCCAAATTCTGCCCAATTGGTGTGGAGGAAAGCCTTAAGAAGAGGACAATAGTGTCACACCAGACATCCAACCAGCTGGGTTGGTTGTAATAGTGACACAATACAGCCTACACTACAGGGTGATCACAGTTTAAGAGAAGAGGGGGTTATTATTCTAAAAACACTATTGAGTAGTTTAAAGTGGGGACAATGAGCTGATCCATGTTGTATTTCGATTTGAACATCTTTGTGATTGTAATAATTTGGCTTCTATTGAAATATGCAATGAAGTTATGATATCTAAAGAAAAACAATCATTTTCATGTAAAATGAAACGATGAAAACACATGTCACCTTGAGTCACCTCTTTCTGATTCATTTGTATGAGATGGTGAGGAAAGCAGCCCATAACAAATAAAAAGGTCTGCATGCATCTTCTTTGGACAGGGAGGAAACAAAATAATGATTGATTGGTGTAATCGGTGGGACTCTTGATTAAATCCAGTGGGTTTTTCATTGTTGCAATTTTACCGGCTGCTAAGATTCTCAAAATCTTTCCTCCCTCTTCTTATATTGCAGTGAGTGAGGTTCAAATTGGTTAACAACAATTTGGACCTTAGTTTTGTGGTAATCATGAATCAAAGTCCTGCAGAAAACTGTAATCAAGTCTCAAAATGTATCAAAATTCAGGACAAATCTTATTTTGTTTGAGGGAGGTGACCTCTAATCTAAACTCTAATCTAAAATCAAATCTAAACTTTCCTTTTGCTTGACAATTTTCATTCAATTTTCAAGTGAGCCAGAACCGGAGTCCCATTTCTGATAATTGTACTTTTAGCTTTTTTTTTTCTTTCAGATTTCTGAAAACATGACATTTTCCCCACTGTGCTTTGATGCTAACCTTGGACATGCCTTCCCCAAAGAGGGCAGGTGTGGGAGCCTCTTGCTGATAGAGAGGGCATCGTAGAAAGATGGACGGTTCCCATGGCGGGCCAGGGCGTTGGCCAGTAGTGTGCACAGGAGGATGGGGACAGCATGACTGAACTGGCCAGTTAACTCCACAGCCAGGAGAACCGGGGACAGTGTGTGAGTTGCAGCACCAGAAAAGGCAGCCGCTCCTGCAAAACAAGAACCAGGCATGTGATAGATAATGAGGATCTATATGTGTTGAATTACGCCTCAAAACGTTGTAATTAAGATTTTAGTCTAGGTACCACACAGTTGGACAGACAGCATTCTCAAGTACAGAAACATGTAAACGTTTCTACATTTTTTTTCCATACCGACATCAAACACAGTGCAGTTTTGTGTAATGAGGTTGTAGATTGATCACATTTAAAGATGAAACAGGACTTGTAAGGATGCCATTTTTGCTCTAGGAACATTTGGTGCAGACTTTGAAAATAATTACCCAGATATGAACAGATTGATTCAAACACACTGAGATGCAGAAAAAAAAAGATGTTAATATTCCAGATACGTTTTCTCGTATTAAATAGCTTGTCTGCTATTTGCATTGAACAAAAAAGATACTGTTTAGCTCTTTCTACCAGCGAGTGCATAGCCTCCAGGATTTACAGATTTCCATTGCAGTCCTGAAATCCTTTCAGTGGAGGACAGATAAGCCACTCCCTCACCGAGCAAACGGCCGATCGCCGCCCCTGGAGAAAACAAACCAAAACAAATGAGAGGGATTAGTGCGCTACACGTCCATTATTTCCCACAAGCACAAAAACCCATTTTTTCTTTACATTCTAGCAGGATGATTAAATGATTCATGCTTGTCGAGTCAACGTTTGAGATGGAACCATTCACGCATTTTGTTCCAAAAAGCCGGCTTAAGTTGTGTCTTGTCACTCACCGTAGACAAACACTGGCATGAAGTACCCAGCTGGCAGAGGCAGAGTGCAGGCAAGGACCAACATCCACATCTCAGAACCAACAAAGAGACAGACTGTCAAATCTCTGCAGCCTCACTGGCACCTGCAGCACTGCAGATGAGTCATGGTTTGGTCACTGTTTGTGCCATGATTACGCTTTCCGTTTACATGTAGTAACAGGATCTATATACTGATCTTAAATGAGGTGTGTTGCATTACCAGATACCAAAAAAACTGCCTCCATTCAAAGCTGTTACCATAACAAAGGATTTCTTTTAGCTCAAAGAGCTGATGGGATTCTAGACAAACGCCAAGCCATTTCCTTGCACGCTGCTGAGATGTCATGCTGATAAAAGTCTACCTCCAGCTTTGCTGAGTGGGCATTAGAACACAAAGCTTCAGCACCGAAAGGTCAACTGCCTTTTGTTTGGCGAATCTATTGTGAAAATGTCAATTACCATTTGTAAATTATGAGTCTTTGTAACGAAGAAGGTCGAAACCTGAATAGATCCATTTGTTGACATTTGTAATATTTGTACCTTCATGAGGAGAAAGAAAGCCAAAGAGTGGAAGACGGAAATCCCAGATGAGCTCCACTCCAGCAATGGCTCCGTTTGCACAGATGCATTGTGGGACTGAGGGCTCCACTGCTTGCTGTCCAGTAGGGAAGCAAGGAGCTGCTTCATGGTGTACTGTGCAGAGTGACATTTGGATTTCACAAGTTTGTATAAAAGAAAAAAGGCAACTAGGGGTATGTCTGGGGTTAACTCTAATCCATGAATTTTTCTCATATGGCAACACAAATTAATAAACCAAAGTTTTGCAAAAACAACAGAATAGGAACGACTGAATAGAATAAATGAAAAATAAAGTTCATTGTTAAGAAAAACAGGCAAGCCAGTGCAATGATTGGGTTAACTGATCAATTTAAATAGTTTCTTTAGTAAATGTGGAAGTCTGATGTGAGATGAGATGCTTTGAATTTGACCTTTTCATAATGAAATAATGGGATTAGCTCCACTCTAACCCAAAATATATGAAGACCAACTACTAGACTTCAACTAGTGGCACAGTTAACAATGTGTAGAGGTACACAAAAGTTACACAGTGAGCGTACAAATGTTGCTGATGCCCACCTTAGAAGCCATGTATTGACCAGCAGAGTATGGGAACGTCAGCAAAGCCAGAAAGAAAACCACCAGGCCAGAGTACAAACCCTTCCTGCAGAGAGGTTTTTACAAGCACAGACATTTTTCAGAGAAAAAAAAGAGATGGTTTTAATAAATTAGCTGTTCCTTTTTCTAAAGAAATTGAAAGTATTTACAGATTTAATACAAATATAATAATAGTATCAGGGCTTCATCATTTAAATATGAATGAGAAATGCTCTGTTGATGACACATGAATGCACCATAATCCATCTTCCACAGTTTAGCGAGGGCTCACTCTGTCATCAGCACTTTAAGGAGGAATGGGTTGGTTTTGGTCAAACGCAGGATCCACCGATGGCAGAAGAGGTAGCAGCAGCTCACTGCCCCACACAGCAGTCTGTTTCCACACAGCAGCACAATCCAGAATGAAAAACCAGAGGCTATTTTCATCCCAGCAGCAAAGGTTGATTGGTAGTAATTAGACTTGAGGAAGCAAAGGAGAATTTTCCGGGAAATGCTTAATTTGAAATAAATTCCAATTAGAACAGAAGGAAAAAACAACAGAGCTGCTTTTTAATGTCAGTGGCATTAATATGAACACCAAATGGCAGTTTTTATTAGGGAGATAGACACAAAGACTTATTTAACTAAGCATATGGCGACAAAACAAACTCACCCAAGGAAAGCAAACAGCACAATCTCCAGTGGGTAGAAAGGTAAAGCGGTGGGGAAATTAGTTTTGAATAAGGCCCCAAGAGTTTCTGAGGACACAAAACAAATTGGAGTCATCATTCCTACCAGCCTTTCAAGATCTAATATCCCTGCCTATGATTGCAATGAGATTTAAATTACATTTGCAGTCAACTAAAACGCCTCATATGGTCTTCCAAAAGCTGAGCTTCCCAGTCATAGTCCTTACAGAGATCCCTGTCAACATAGCTGAAAGGTGACATATAATCAAAAACTACATTTACCGAAAAAGTACTAATTCAACTTCAAGTGTTATATTTTTTTAACAATCAATGGATATTGATATTATACGTTCTATGTTTAGCTGTCTTTATCTGCAGCCTCAAAGCCTAAAACAGGTAATTCCAGTACAATTAGCCCGACCCTGAAAGTTCCACCAGAGGCTAACCAGCTACTATAGAGTAGGTACCAGATGTCTAAAATGCAGAAATGTCAAACTGAAGCCATGAAATGGTTGTGTTTTTCTATCCTTTTTGTGGTGAAAAAGCTGGACTGGTTCTTTTTTATCAGATGGAACTTGAAACTGCAGTTAATGCTGCAATGTTTATTTTTTTCTCTATGAAAATGAAAAGGTATCCCACAGCCAATTGGGAAACGGTGTGTGTATATGCTTTACCCATATCCCATACAGCAGGAGATCATTGAGTTTGCTGTCCTGTTTTTCTTTATATTCAGTGTCAGTGACTCTGAAGTGAACTGTTTCCTTGTTGACCATGAGGGGGCGAGGTCAGATCATCAGACCCATTACCTCCGTCGCCACTCCAAACTGAGAACAGGCGGAAGGTCAGCGCCCCGACGGCGGCCGAGAAGAAACACGGGCAGTAGTGCCTCAGGGCGAAGTGAGAGCTCATCACCTCCACACTGAACAGCACACCTGCACCACCAGAAGATAGAAACGCAACAGCTGAGCCATGATTTTTTTAGATTATTGCAAAATCTCACATACATGTTTGGTATTTCGGATATGAATAAGCATTTATTTATGGGAAATGTATGTTGAATGTAACATTTTGAGTTTGTTCAGCGAGCTGAGGGATGCAGAGGAAAGGAGAGCTGAACGTTTTGGGAGTTCAAAGGAGGAAGTTTTGCAAGTGAAAAGGTTGAACAGATAAGCGGGGATAGGGGGTTTTGAACAGAGAGCAACTTTTAAAGTGAAGCCTGCAGAAGGGAAGTCAAAGATAAGAATGCATTAGCCAGCAAAAGAGACTCTAATAAACAAACACAGCAGGAGCTGATGTGTTGTTTGCTTTATGTGTGTGGTCGTACCACCTTTTTAATTTGACAGGCTCTCACCACTAATCGGAGCTCCAAAGCAGCTGGCCACCCCCACAGCAGAAGCTACTACCAACATTTCTGCTTCTGCTTTCTGTGGGAGGAGATATTATTGCTGGAGTGTACAATCTCCACACTGGCATTCACATCACACAGACAGTAAAAGTGATATTTGTTCCAGTGTAGGTTCTTTTAGTTTAAAAGCTGAAAGGGATTTTTCACAGACCTGTTGCTCTTTGGGCTACCAGTGGCTGGCATGTGTATTCTTTTCCTTTCATATTTTGCGTTTTAGAACCGTGAGAAAGCGTTCTGAATCTGTTCTGAATAATATCATGGACTCAAAACCAACTTACTGACTTTCCGGCCACATCTGTTCAATTCAAGTCAGTGTTGTTGATGTAGCGCCAAACCACAACACTTCAGAGAAGTGGCTCACTCCAATTCACGTCAGTTACAATCCAGTGAAACCATATACGATTCTTAATCAAAAGACAGACATTTCGGATGTTATCTTGGCTTACAGTCAAGATAATTGGGTCTGTTCGGTAGCACACATTGTTCTTTGCTCAGCACTGATCCGAGGTTTCGTTTTGCAGCAACACGTAAAGTCATGAGAGTCCAACGTTCACACTGACAGAGAGCTGCTAAATGTTTCACATCTTTCACAGAAACGTTTTATACCTGCCGTTAGACAGCCTTTTTGTTAAGGGTTTGAGGAAAGAAAAAATAAAAGATTGGAAAACTGTTTACCATCTTTTTGCCTTGTGTAAGACTGCAGAGGTTGCCCAGATAAGCTCCTAACATGGTGGAAAGATGCACAAATGGACCCTAAGTTCAAGATAAAAAATAAAACTCATGAAAAATTGTGCATACACCCACACACACACACACACACAAAGATATACATGTAATGTACATACAATGCACATAAAATGCAATCTAGTGAAATCAAGATAAATAGATGGATAGATTTTTTGTTTATATAGTACTATATGTTATTATGAATGCTGAGTAATTTCTCACCACTTTGCCGAGGAAAACAGTGCTGCCAGCTGCCAGTGTGCAGATAAGCCCCAGGAACTTGGTAAACATATTAGTGAGAGACAAGTAATGAGGCATTTCAATGCCATTCAGCATGGTTCTCACCTCTGGAATCCCTGAGCCTAAGAAACACAACAGCAGAACACAAAGATTTACAAAGCAATCAGAAAGTTGTAAAAAAAAAAGAAAAGGAAGTTGTACTTGATGAAGATCCAAGAATGAAACCTGAATAATTAAACCTCCATGAAGGAAAACCCCAATGAGTTACAATTTAAATGTCCTGTTAGCAAGACAATTCAGGAAGTTTTACCATTTTGTCTCTGGGTGTAATGAAGCAGTGTGAATAACTGTAACATAAACTTGCACAGATCCTGTGAGACTTATAATATCAGAGTTTCCTCTTGCTCAGTCGATGTGCAACTTTACTACTGCGTGAAATTTCAAGATATCATCCCAATTGACTTCTCAATAAAATTTTTAATGAAATGTATTTTAGATGGGAAAGAGAGATGTTGTAAGAGGAAATGGGGGAAAGAAAAAATATATGAAGTTGCTGATCTTTTCCAAGATAGAACAGAATTGGAAAACCTGGGAATGTGGCCTCACAAAGCCATGCTGGATATAAAGTTTATTCAGGCTCTGGCATACAGCGACACATTTTGATTGCGTTTTTAGTTTGAAACACTTTCTTGCTGTATAAATATTAGTAAGCGTTCTGCATTTATGAAATAGGATTTGAACCATGATATATCAGTGTGGTCTCTAGGCTTTCTTACAGTAACTCTGTCTTTTAAGATTCCTCATTTCATCAATTTGACTTGACCATTTTGGCCATTCTGTTTTATTCTTTATCTTTGTATCAGATCCAATTCTTTGAAAAGCTATTTTTCCTGCAACATTCAAACTGATTTTTTTACCCTTTGAAATCATTATTGTACTCATCTTTTACTCTCATGATGGCATTTACTTTTATATGTTACCAAACCTCTGACTGGATAGAGAAATAAAAAAATCGCACAAAGCATCGTGTTCCTGTCAATACTCCAGGAGTTAGGGATGGTGGTAAGTGCCTCTCATCTCGTTCCATTCATTGTTGAGGTAAGATTTTGAAAAGGTTAGGCGAGCTTTTGTGTTCATTTCTTGGAGAGTGTCGGTATCCATGGAGACCAGCCTTATGTGGTGTCTGCTGGAGTGTCTGTCTCATATTGCTGGTAACAAAATGGTTGGGATTTATCTCCGGTAGTGATTCTTGGACTTCCTTTGATCCTTTGACAGCAAGACCACACTTTGATTATCCCCAACGATGTTAAAGGCTAATGGAAACTGATGCAGGCACCAGCACGATGTAACTTATTAGTCTTGTTATTATCCACTCTGCTTTTTTCTAATGGGCTATGTCGTGGTGTCCGTGTGTTTCTATGAAAGCATTACATGTATGCATATTTACATAATCTGAAGAAAACTCTGAATATTTTAAGATATAACATCACTAGTGTGAGGAAAAAAGGGGAAGTGGTTTGTTTGAACTTACTCTTCTCAATTTCTCTTGCACTGTCAAGGAAAAATGTAACAATATATAGAAATATAGACACACAGATATAAATATAAGTGCTAACTATTACTTCAGGAAGGAAAATTTGACTAAATATATTTCATAAGATAAATTAGCATAATAAAGAAATATTCTAATAAAAATTAAAAAATCTGATGTTTTGTGTGTGACTGCGTACAGACCTGTGGAGAAGGGACAAATGTTGTGAGAGAAGGAGGATGCAAAGGCACAGAGGCATGCTGGGTAGAGAGTCCAGCAGAGGAACTGTAGAAGAACATTGCCCTCCAGCTTCATATAAAGCCACAAGTGAGCTGCATGAGGAAAAAGTAAACAGCATATATTTCCTTTGCTCACTTATGTGTGTGCTGTCGATGTCTGTATATTTTCTGTGTGTACCTCTTATCAACTTTGTCACGCTGAAGTCCATGAGGAAACTTAGGAGGGCAGTCGAAATGCCCAGAGCTGCGTAGCCATACCACTCTATCCCACACAATGTTGCCAAGCAGAGCCTCAGCTTTACCAGCCAACCTAAGAATACAACAGCTCTATAGTTAAATCTGAGTCTGATGTCCATGAATGGGCAGAAAATACCACCGATGTATACCATCAGACAAAAAAAAAGATTTCAAAAAACAACCTAAAAGATTTTTCTCTATTATCGTAATATAACTACAAGGGAGAATTGTCCTGTATTGTTTTTCATTTGAAGTCTGTGTTATTAACGGGAGACTTAATTACTCATGGGTCCCCCTTTAGCTGTATTTTGTTCTATTCCACTTTCATATATTTATACATCTGCAAAGAGTTAGGTAAAATGAAGCATGCAAGCCTAAAAGAAAAAAAAAGACGATTAATAATTTTCTGTCTCTATGTTAAATATGAAACCGCCTCCCCCCAAACCATCAAAAAGTATCTCAGTTTTTAAATGTGGTTAGGTCTAAAAAGTATTAGCAGATGCTACACAGAAAAAAAACAGGAAATTGGCATGAAAAAGCATCATAGGGTCACAGACACGGGTATAAAATATTGATTAAATTCAAAATCAGCAGCTATGCTACATTAGGGAAAGAAGGCTGTCCCTCCTTTTACTCTATACAGAAAATACATAAAATAACTTATCTTTTATCAGTAAAATCCTAAAACGTATGGATTGTGTTACCCTTGAATGTGGAGATGATAAATGACTTCTCAGCCTAAGGTAAAATACATAAAAACAAGGGATGGAAATTCTTGTCTGCTACCATGCATGTTGAAGCTTGACTTTCAAAGAGGCATTTTCAGATGAAATGATTGTGTTTCTATCGATTATACTGCCCTCATTGTTCATTTCACTCTGACCTTTGATGGCTGTACGTTGCCCTCTGCATGGTCTCCATGGATCCAAAAAGAGCAGGTTCATATTATGGGATGTGTCCAATTGATTTAGTTGCTCCTGGATGTTGTTTTCCATGTTTGCTTCGCTAGATGGAGATCTATCCAAGCAGTTCAGCTTACTGTGAAATGGGCCATAACCCAAGAAAGAAGTCTCAAATAAGATGTCCTGATAAAAGTAAAACACATGCGTATGAGTCAGGTAGGTTTACCTTTTGGGAATGCTTGCAGAGTTTCCATCTGTCGGTATTTTCACATGTGACTGTACTGTGGATCCGTTGGTAACTGACCCCTGTTGGGATATTAGCATAGAGATGATGGAGCAGTCACGGTTGAAAGCGTAGCTAATATTAACTCGGAGGGAACATTGGTAGATGCCCTTCATTTGTCTCGACAGCCGAAATGCAGAGTTACAGAAAAAAAAACACATCATCATGCTGTTTGATACCATCAGCAGCTCCCCTGATGTAAACATCAGAGATTCATTTTCCATTACAGTGAACATGTAATAAGAAAGCTTAAGTCAGGTTCTGTATCATAATACTTAAAGGTTTGCTATTCACTATTTTCTTACATAAAAATGCAAAAATATTCCCAATACCAAGAGCCACCATGTGACTAAAAGTCTCTCCCTGTTAAAATGAATGGAATTATCTGTTTTTTCTCACTCTAAATGGCCATGCGATAACATTTTGTACACCTCCGCAATTTAGATAATCGGAATTTAACTTAAATTTCTCCCACCTGCAATCCTGTTCCTGTTATCTTATCAGGATTTATGCAGGCTCATTTCTACCTGTGCTTGGATCAATATTATTCTGTTGTGCTACAAATCTTTGGGACTGCTGATTGGTGGAGGTATGTGATGTGACTGGAACCAACTCTAAAATACAGCTTAACAGCTCTATTGGAGGTCAGGTCCTGCTTCAGATAGAAAACTTTGGATGGTACAAAGTTAACTTGTTTGAATACAATTAAACAAACTATAGAAACAGAAAGGTGAATTCCAGGTTTCACCATGATTATTTTTCCCTTTGATTGCTATGTGAACAAAGTGATTTGCATTTTATAGCTCTCATGAGGTGGAACAGAGGACATTGCTCTGACCTTCTTCTTTGTGTTTGGACTTCAAAAATACTCTTTTAAAAATGTCACTCTGGTCCAGAAAAAACATTAAAACAACGCAGTTGTCACAGAACCTCTAGATCTCTGACACTTTATGAGAAATCAAGGTTTAAATCTGCCAACCTGCTGAAGGTTAGGGAAATAATTGTTCAAAACCTGGATCAAAGTCATACACTCACACACACGCACACACACTCGTGCACGTGCACAGACTTTACATGAGGCATTAGTTAATGTTTATCTCCTCCAACTATTTCTTCCGTTTGTGCTTTCAGTTGGCACTTGTGTTATTTTTAGAGATTTAAACTCTGCATGCTGGGAGCATCAGGCGCACCATCTCTCGCACAGCAAATGCTTTTGTGAGTCTAAAACTTGTTTCCATGGGAACAGCACACCGAGACAACTGGAGAACCAGATGACGATCGTTCTCAAGCACCTGAGAAGTTTCCCCTCTGGCATATAAGATAACAAGTTAATCAAATTATGGTACATGCTTTCCAAATCCCAAAGTGGACATTTGAAAATAAAAATGAATCTATATTGAAGGGCAAAACGAAGTTTGATGTCACTGTTTGTCTTTATAAAACTTCTGCAAACAAACATTTCTTCTGTGATTGACAGAAATATTTAATGAACCAAAAGGAAAGGTAATTGGGAAATGTTCTAAACATTTTGATGAAGTGATGAAGTGTTCCAATCAATTTTTCAGCTGTGGTTGTGAATTATTTTGACTAGACTGAATGTGAAAAACTGTATTTTAGTCTAGACTGAGAATAAAAACAAAGATAAGCTATTCAGCTTAGTTTTCCATGTAAAATGACTGATTATGTTATTGCTTTTGTGAGCTTTTTTAATTTTTGCAGCAAATCACATGTAAGTAAACTCTACATAAATATATGATATATTTAAAACAATACATATTTTAAGAGAGAGGCATTTTTAAGCGTAGCTATTGTGCCATAAAAATGTTAATAACACACTTCTTGATGCGATATTAACTGTCATCCTCGCCAGCATCCCAAAGTCTCCGTCTGCTCTGTAATCTTGTGCTGAACCACAAGCATCTGCATTCCCAAATAATCTGCACATACTGACATTATGGGGACAAAAAGCAAGTCTGTGCAAACAAAGGAATGCACACACACATCCAGACCAAAAATAGGGAGCAGGTGGTGGTTCAAGCAGTGAGTAAACGGCATGATGAGGTGCAGCCGTGCCTGAAACATCATTTATTTGGTGCAGTAGATGAGGTTAGTTTTTAGCCCCACCCTATGTCAGCTGTTTGTTTTTCTTTTCTGACAAAAAGTAAGCCCCCATTGTGTGAGTTATGGCACTTTTAAGGAAAAATAAATCACAGTTGTCAGTATTTGTAATCACTGCGAGAGAACATTGGTGTTCAAGCCAGCAGAAGAGTGAAATGAACATGAGGGCACGCGGGCCACAGTAAAAAAGCTCCATGGATAATATGAAAAAGCAGTAAAGAAAAAAAAAGAAAAAAAAGAAGGGCCATTTGTATCACAGCAGTTATGTTCTAAGACTCAAAAGATATTTTCATAACCAACAACAATCATGTAAAAAGGAGACATATTGGAGATTTTATACAAAAACACGACTCCTAACCTTTGCCTGTTTAAATGGGACTGTGCTCTGCCTGTTCAGACAGGCCAACAGAGGGCAGAGGAGAGGTCCTGAGACACACAAACTGGCCCACAGCACAAAAGCTTGCACTGAAAAGCACAAAAGCTGCTGTCAAGACTTTTCCCCCTGTCTATATACAGAGACACACATCTTGTTTTATAAAAAGATTCAGCTTTCATCGTTTGATGCCACCAAGCCTCACTGCAAAGGGGGAAGTATTCCTGTAAATGTAATCTATTCATTCATGTGCACTGGTAGGATTTTGTTTTTTGGGCAACTGGGCATGAGTATATCTCCTCTAAGTAACTTAGTGTCAGCACTTCACTGAAATAAGAAGGTTTTGATGGTGCTTTACATTTAATTAAAAAATAAATAAACAAAATAAATGTTATATGTATATTTATATACAATATATATGGTATACTAGTCTCATACTATATTAGTTTTGGTAGATCTGTAAGTGCTTTGCTAAAACCTGAACATCATGTTTTTATTGTTGACCTATTTCATAGTTCCAAAACCTGTTATCCCAGAAGTTCTTTTTTTTTTTTGTTGCTTTTGTTAATACAAAGTAGGACGTGTATTTTCTAATAGGCTGGTCTGTCTGCACAGTCTGTGGTAGAACAATGTCTTGGTTGGAGTTAAGTTAAGACTTACTGTAGCCATGGACAGGGTAAGTTTCCATTCCTGTGACGTTTTGGATACTGTGTGTGCCAAAAGGAATGCACACGCACAGACACTCACAGATAGAGTTGACTGTGTGGTGAGACCACATGAATGCCTACAGGATCAGCTTTACTGATCCTGAGTGTTTCATTATCTTCCTTTATTGCCATCGTTTTATTCTTTTTCATTATAAGAATAATAATAAAAATAGACATGCTCCCAAAAATTCCATTTGTTTTGTCAAAATTATTATTCTTATCACTCTCCTTTGCAGACACAGTTTGGCTCCATATTTTGTGCTGAACTTAACCACAGAAAGAGAAACATGTATGTTCTCATTTCTACCTACTTTTCATGTTCCTGTTCTTTTCTTTATAAATTCTTGGCACTTTCTATAACGAGAGCTAATAACTGGCTGCATGTTATAAATCACTGTATTCTGTTTAGATTCAAATAAAGATTTCTCAAAAGGTCCAAATACTCTCATATATCGGAACAAGGCAAATTTTTTATTTCTCTTTTAGTCTCTTGCCTACACTGGAAATTCACCATTTGAAAAAAAAAAGGCAGTAGCTTGATAGGCATGTTTTGTTGCCTCTCAGCCGTGCTTTGTGGCCTCCCTCCTCAATAAGTATGTCATCTCCCCCATCGGACCGCCTGTCATCTCTTCCAGGCCTTTGACGTTTCACCAGGTGCTCGTCCCAGTCCTCCTAGCGGAGCCACATGCCTCTGAAGGCAGACTGGTCTTAAGCTTGATGTTTTTCATATTACAAGGCTGATTGATTTCGAGGATCTCGTCATTTTCATCATCCCAGAAAATGGTCTTGATGGCAGTTCCATTTAGACGTGCACAACAATTAGGCCAGTGTGAATCAACAACGTTGCTGTTACCAGGGAGCGGAGGAGGCTCTGTGTTGCTCCCCAGTCGGGAGGTTCTGAGTTGCTAAGCTGGATTTAGACCTTAAGTAGGGGGCTATGCACTCGGTAGTGATAAGGCTAGGATCAAATGATACTCTGTGGCGTCATTTGTAACATGCGGTGATCTTTTAAACATCAAAGTGAGGGAGGACTACAATTGGCTTTAGACTGCCACTTTTGGGGTAATAGGTTTTCCCTTAAACTGGTGAAAATCACTAATAAATCAGTGGATATGTCCGTATCTAAATTAAAAAAACACCCACTGTTGACTAAAATGAAATAACAGGTATGGAATATAACACAATCACGAAGCCCACAAATGGATTTTAATGGATTAGCTGTCAGCAGCACTAACTAGAGAGAAGAGCAGAGAGTGTTTTCTAATCATGATGGGCTGTGCTCTCTGTGCTGGTATTAATAGCCACTGAGCAATGTCCCCACTAAGTCCCCTGTCCCTCCTCATGGCTTTGTTTTCAAGCACATTCTTTCCATCTTTGTTTTGTTCTTAACTTATCCTCATACATGTGCGGTAAGTCTCATTTTTCATTTTCCAGTTCCAGTTCTGCCTTCCTCCAGCACAGCCGGAGGACGCACCACCAACTCGAAAATCATTTACTCCTAATATTCTGTGCTTAATACATGAGAACTTGAATTAATATCAGATGACTAATGAGGGGGAACAAAAATCCTCTGTAATGAGATCACCTCACGCTGTGAAAACAGTGGACTGTGCCGTTTAATGGCTGAACCATTTGCAGATCCAGTTTCAGGTCAAAGGCCTACTAAATATTTTAAAAAGCCAAAGAAATACACAGATGGAGCGTTGAAGCACTGTGGGAATTAAAGGGGCGATAGGAAAGTTATTTCAGGGACGGTGTCTCTGAAAAGACAACTGTTGCCCCTCACTCCCTGTTCTTTTTCTCTCACTCTCTATCAAATCCCACTCTCCCTCCCTCTTTTGCCCTAAGGCCCTCCGTTGCCCAGAACGTTCCCAACCACAGACTCTCCTCTACATCCCGGTGTGGGTCTTATGATAAAAATAGAACACCATTACCCTTTTCCAGTTAGCTGTGACACACGTGCCAGCCCCCCCAAACATGCATGAGGCCATACAGTATATAAAGGCCACGTATGAGAAGCTACAGGAGGGTGGGCCAATAAACACCTCTTAAAAAAGCAATAAAGACACGAAAAGGAGATTTCTTTAAAAACAAAAAGCTGTGTGAATTCTATCTATTATTCAATCTGTTGGGGTCTCCAAGAACTTCACCAAGAAGAATCAGGACTCTCCGCCTCCCTCCTCTCTGCCTTTACTCTCCTCCTCTGCCTTACTCAGCACTTGCAACCACCCATGAGTGTGACCAACTCCTCAGCTTATCGATCGGAGCGTAGTTTCCACCAGACTTCATCCTCGACTTCGTCCTCTGGCAACCCATACATGGAGAAGAGCCGGGGACTGTTTGCCGAGGACTTCGACTCCTTCATGAGGCCTGGGAGCGACACTTTGGGTTTTTCCAGTAAGTTGAAAGCTTCAGAACTCATTTTGTAAACAAAAAAAACATTTTTTTTTTAAAAAGACAGCTTTTTCTTTTTTTTTCTTTAAGTCGATCTAAGTTTCCAGATAGAAGCAGTTGGATTAAAGTGTTGTTTTTCAATGCATTGTTAGTAAAAAGTAAAAGGAAGAAGACAACAGGCAGAACTGAGACTGTGAGGCAGATGGATTCAGGTGGAGCTGATGTATTGGGAATAAAATATATTTTAAACAAGTATGTAACCATGGTGTAGCAGATAAAAATGATTCAGTTTACTCAATAGACACTTAGTTACAGGTCACTGAAGCTATTGCATTTAAGCTACATAGTAAGACCATGACAAATGTCACTTTCCAGTGCCTGACTCATGTCCAGCTGGTGTGAACTGTTATGTATCAATTCACCTCTGGTGCACACAGGAGTGCTAATGTCTAACATGTGACCTCTACATAGGCTCATGGGCTACATTGGGGGCAGAGCGGAATTGTTTTAGACCCATGACCGGTATCCCAAAGGTGCAGCTTCAGGAAGGGTGCTGTTAAAGGGAAAGCAACACACACGCTTGCAAGCCGAGAATGCTGGGCCGAGCGCCAGCAGTGTGACTTCACACACTTAGTATCTGTGATGACGGCCGCGTCAGTAACGGCCCAATGGTTTCCCGGTGACCAGCGGACACACACACACATAAAGTAGAAATGATGTCACATATCGAAGCTAAAGACAGAGCACGCACACCCACAACGCCACACTGGAAATGAGTGCGGGGTACCAGCACACAGTCCAGCCACACAATCCACTGCCACATCCCAAAAAAGAAAAAAGAGAAGAAATCACAAGTTCTTATTTAGTCTCAGTTTACATTTTCGTAGACATTATTGCTGTTGTGTTGAATTTACAAAATACATTTATATTGGATATTCACAAGTAATTTAATGCCTAAAATATTCTGCCCTCTTCGGCCTGGTTTCCACATGTGGCAGGCAGATGCTTTCAGGAGCAAAACTCAGATATATCAAACGAGACACAGAGGGGGAGGAAGGAGACAAAAGGCCTTTTCAAGAGGGGACGAATAGGTCTCAGTTATGTGCATATGGAGAGACGAATTAGAGGAAGAAGCACAATATTGTACAACAAACAATATTACCGTGCAGGCTAATAGGTGTTAATTAGTGTTAAGCTTTGACTATCTGGTGTTTTGTGCACACATTCCATAAATGACCATTCCACAAGCTTTTTTCTGCCCAGTAACTGTGAATTGTGCCGTCATAAGCTGTAAGTAGTTGAGTTAAAATGGGTCTGGGTGCAGTAAAATCTGTCATCAAAGAATATTTCAGAGTGTGTGCCTTATTAATAGTGTACATGCACCATTTACCTTTTTCAAACAGGTTTTCTCATCCAAACAACAATTCCAAATAATGCAAAAAATAGGATACAATAGGCCCGTGTTAGTCATGTATTTACTTGGTTCATTACACTATTTATACATGTCATCAAAGAGCCACAAACCAGCTGCTCCCATTTCACACCATCACATCCACGAGCACATGGCATCAATGGTGACATGTTATACATGATAAACATCATATAAGCATAGAAAAACAAAAATAGAAAAATAAAGATTAAAAATTTAGACAATAGCATTTAAAAGTTGTTTTTATTTGTATACTAATATTGTTGAAACTTGAAAAGGCTCTGTGTTGAAAAAAACTTTTGATTCTAGCAGTGACTAATAAGTGTGACTATAACCTACTACTATAACTATTGTACTATATTACTATAGTACTACTATAACTATTTTAGAGTTACTGTTATATTAATTATGCTTACAATCTCAAGGTATGACAGCATGTCTGCACGTTGATGATTCTGCTAATTTGTAATTCACTATTTCGAAAGTTTTTTTTTTTTTAAACAGATAATGGCAACACAGGGATTTTCTATGATGAAAAGCTCAAAACCCATCACATGATGCAGCCTTTTTCAATCAGCAACCACTAATACTGACGTAACCAATTCCAAATGAATCATCAAATGCAACTAATTTCACACTACATTGACCAATGTGAGATTTTCATACTGAAGGGAAAAAAATCAATATTCACCAGCAAGAAAATGGCATTCCAAATTCAATGAAAATAAATGGAAAAATGTATATTTACAAAAATGTATATGTAAATACTGTACTCTCAACCCTTTTTGTCTTGTGGTGGTTTCAGGTGGAACTGGAAATCTCAAAACTCTCGAGGATTCCTATCAGTTCACAGTTGATGTGAGGGACTTCTCTCCTGAAGATGTCATCGTCACCACATCCAACAACCAGATAGAGGTTCATGCAGAAAAGGTGAGCAGAGTTCCATTAAAACAGAAATATTGACAAATTACAGACCCTAAATTAGTCTTTGGTCACAAATCATCCAATGATCTACACTCTCCTTTCCTTTGCAGTTAGCCCAGGATGGATCGGTGATGAACACTTTCACCCACAAGTGCCAGCTACCGGAGGATGTGGACCCCACCTCAGTGACATCCTCACTGGGTGCCGAGGGGACCCTGACAGTCCGGGCGCGGAGAAACCCAGCCAAACACGAGCTCGTACAGACCTTCCGCACCGAGATCAAAATCTAGAGAGGGACCCACTTTGTCGCAAACGCCACACTTCTTGTGTTTTTCCATGTTACTCAGTGTATTTCTTATAATCTCTGTCATCATGCGTCAGCCACTGCCACTCTGTAAAACACGACACACTCAACTTCAGTGACAACAACTGTTGCTGCTCAGTTATATATTTAGTTGGTTTATTTATTCCCTTTCAATCTCTTGGATATATTTATTAGTTACTTTCAGATTTTCTCCCGTCTACTAACGTAATCCTAAAACTGAGAAATTGATCCATTTGAAAAACTAGCTCGTCATTAATAATAATATTTATAATGTATTATTACTTGTGTGAATAAACATGGCTGACAACAACCCTATTCTGTCAAATCCTTTGAAAGAATAAAACACCACACAAAAGGTGTTAATGGTGTGTGTGTGGAGTTTGGGGGGGGGGGGGGGGGTGGCAGCTTCCCTGCTTTCACTGACGTAGGAAAGCTTTTCACTGACGTCACTTGGTGGGGATATAGTGGTGGTCACTGTAACCCATCCAAGAAGATGAGCAGTCATTTTCCAACTGAAGGTGTGGTTTCTTTCTTCCTCAGACCACAACGAAAGGACACTGGATTTGTGAAATTAGTTTAATCCCTTTATAGTTCTACATGAATATTCACATCTTTTTCTGAAAAGATCAACATTAACTGAAACAAAAGATTATTTACTGAAAATAAAACTCATACACAAAAGGAGTGAGCTACAGGTTTTTTCCTTCCTCATGTCTTTTACTTCTAATACTAACTTGGACCAATTGCGCCATCTTGTGGGCATCATCAGCCTAACATATGTTCGTACTGCGCCTGCGCTGTTGATACATCCGGCTGGTCCCTATCAATCGATCAGAGAGAGGAAGATGGCGGTGGATGGAGATCGTGGGGTAGGATCGATCACCGAAAAACTCGATTGGGTTCGTTTCTCCTAAGTGAGTCAGAAACTACGTAACACCGCGTTGTCAAGCCTTGTTAACCTGGAGTGAGGAAGCGACGACAAGCAGGTAATTATGGAGATAGTTTATGTAAAAATGGCGCTTCCTGCGGAGGTTGTGAGCATAGGAGATGTGAAAACAACGACAGATGAAGACAGGCCCTGCTCGTCTGTCCGCCATCTTGCTCCCCCTTTACAGGCATGTAGGCACGCTAAATTAATCCCTGATAACAAAGCTACAAGGATGGAGGAATTGTAATCGATGCGGTAAACTGTCAAACCTGGATGTCAAAACTTGTAGACAACTTTGCGTTTCTTTGAAATAAACTTAACTGGGTTTTTAAAAACTTTTATTTGTTGTATATCTGAGAGGTCGAGGATAAATTATCGGCCGTATTCAATTTCTTATGGCGTCGCATCCAATTTCTGTGGCAGTGTTTCTGAAATCCCGTTTGTGTTATAAAAAATTTAATTTGGACCTAAAATATTTCCGTGTTTCTGGTTTTTGTTGATAAATTGTATACGGAAAGAATAGAGACCTGGTGTCCAGTCCTAGTCAGATAATACTGAACTCACAAACGCAGGATTATTAAAGTTGAGGTGATATACACCATGTATAATTATGCTGATTATTATTACTATCATTATTACTAAATGTTGTTTTAAAATATTGATAGGTGTCCTTTTGATAGCAAAACCCCCCCACTGAAGATGATTTATTACACATGAATCTATGTATAGCTACTGTTTCTTTGTCAAATACATAGTTCATGAAAAAGAAGAATGTTAAAAGACCATAAAAACATGGAGGTGGTTAAATAATATTTACTATAATATAACTTAATACATCAGAACAATTTACAGGTTAATAAAATCTGACAAATTTAACATTTGTACACATGAATGTGCCTTTCTAATGATGTTGTCTTAAATCCCTTTCAAATCAAGGTAGTTTTGAACCAAAGTGAACCATAAACTGTACTTACAGTGCTGATTTCCCTTCTTTTCAGCGAGCCTGTGCCAGCTAGTTTTGCACACTGTCCCCTGACCCTTCAGGATAATGGAGTTCCCGTGGCACAGTGCAGAGGTTCTGGAGCAGCTGAACCGGCAGCGTAAGCAGGGCTTGCTGTGTGACTGCACCTTCGTTGTGGATGGGGTGGACTTTAAGGCCCACAAAGCTGTGCTGGCAGCCTGCAGTGTTTACTTCCGCACCCTCTTTCTGGATCAAAAGGATGTGGTGCACCTGGACATCAGTAATGCAGCAGGTGGGATCTGGTTCAGCTGAGTTCATTGTCCTTTGCACATCACCCTGATTAGGGGGAGGATTTCTTCAGAAATTATAGCTAAACCTCCTTTTAAAAATTTCTAACCAATTCTCCTTTCTTACTGATTACTGTTGCAGGTTTGGGTCAAGTACTGGATTTTATGTACACCGCAAAGCTGAGTCTAAATTCACAGAATGTGGAAGATGTGCTGTCTGTTGCCCACTTTCTTCAGATGCAAGAGATCATAAATGCATGCTCTGCATACCAGTCAATGTCCAATTCCTCCATAGCGCTGGATTTTGCAGTTGGTAAGTCAGGTCTCCAAATCTGTCTTTTTTTAATGTAGAGCTGCAGTCAGTACTCAATGGCTATCATAACATTTTACTTTCTATTTCTTCATCATCTCTTGCCAAGACTTCCTCCTACAAAGTCATTTTTTTCTGCTTTTACTTGACTTGTTTCACTTAGGTTTTTATATTTAATGATAAAGAATGTGATTATATTCTGTGTTGTAATTAAACTCTGAATCAAATCCATCATCATGTCTTTTTTATATCAAAGCAGATGAAAAAACAGGTGAAAAACAGCAGAAAGAAGATGCTGAAAATCACCCGTCAGAGGCGGCAGCTCCGGTGGAGGAAAGTCCTCAAACCGATTCCACAGAAGACGACGAGACGCCACAGAGTGAGGACGGTGCTAACAAAGACGCTCCTGACGACACAGAGCAGACGGTTTCTCAGCCCAACCCCACCAGGGCGCACACGGGCCGGGGACGGCCCCCTAAAAGCACTCAGCAGAAGATGTCTCTGAAGAAGGAGTCTGAAGGTGCAGCATGCAGCGCGCCCGGCTTTCAGGACGACCCCGCTGACGCCGACTACACGCCCAGTAAGCTCAGATCTCTGAACTGTGTGACGCTTTGAAGCTGAACTATTGACAGCAGTTTTTTTCTATCGGGGTGCATCTTAATATGGTAATTAAATCTTTTTTTCTGCAGAGTCACATCTTAAATCTTCAGGCAGCTCTTCTTACACGAGCTCAAGAGGGAGAAGGATCCGAAAACCTCCCAGACGAAACTTCCCACAGGGTGAGGAGCTCAGACAAAAACCCCTTTTGTTCAAATGTTTCACCAGTTGTCGTCTGACTAAAACTTTTTTCTAGAAAGGGAAAGGAAGCACTCGTAAGATGTATCACTTGAGTTTGATTAGTTTGTTTTTTGTGTTTTAACAAAAACAGCTTCTGTTTGTCATTTTAAAAGATTTCCAACCGTTGTCTTTATAGAAAACGATTCAGATGAGGAAGGTTCCTTTAAGGCAAAAATCGAAAAGAAGGCAGAGACGCACAAAGTGGAAGAGGAACAGGGAGAGAACTCCAGGGAGGCTTGTGACACAGATGCTGGTGATGAAGATGTGTTTGACGAAGAGGACGAGGATGAGATGGACCATTCAGAGGACGGACTGAGCGAGAAAGACGGAAAAGCCCTGTCAGCGTCTATGAGCGGCCGGTCTGAATCGAAGCCTTACAGCTCTGTGACCCACAAATGTGAGGTGAGAGATCAGTGTTGTAGAGCACAGAGAACCCCAATGAAAGATAATACAGAGTAGAGGTGAATGCTCCTCACTATACAGTCTATAATGGGTTTATTTAATGGCACAGTAAAGACAGAATAAAGACACAGCAGCTTGTTAAAATCAGTTTAGGCTGCAGAGAACCACAGTTTTGCTGATGGATTAGTTTCAATTCAAGATTTTTTCCAATCCACCTTCTGTTTATTCTTTTTTTTTCTAGGACTGTGGGAAGAAATTTACCCACACGGGTAATTTCAAGAGACACATGCGTATTCACACTGGAGAAAAGCCGTTCAGCTGCCGAGACTGCAACAAGGCCTTTTCTGACCCAGCAGCTTGTAAAGCCCATGAGAAAACACACAGGTGACTGAATGCCATATTTATGAATCGTTCCATTTACTTCTGCTCAGTTTTAGTCTCAGCAGGTCACTGAGTTTGGTCTTAAAGCGAGCCCCTGTTGTCCTCTAGTCCTCTGAAGCCGTACTGCTGCTCTACCTGTGGAAAGAGCTACCGCCAGATCAGCCTGCTCAATCTGCACCGCAAACGCCACACCGGCGAGGCGCGTTACAGCTGCGAGGTGTGTGGCAAGCTCTTCACCACATCTGGGAACCTGAAACGCCACCAGCTGGTGCACAGCGGCGAGAAGCCGTACCACTGCGACTACTGCAACAAGGCCTTCTCAGACCCCACGGCCAAGATGCGTCACCTGGAGACGCACGACACAGAGAAGGGCAACAAGTGTCCGCACTGCGACAAGCGCTTCAACCAGGTGACAGCTGGCGGCCCGGGGAATGAAAACAGTCGCACTGTGAAGACGGAGTTCCTGCTGAATGAATTTCATTGATTGTTTCGCTGTTGTCCTCTTTCTAGGTGGGGAACCTGAAGGCACACTTAAAAATTCATATCACAGATGGGCCCCTCAAGTGCAAGGAATGTGGCAAACAGTTTACCACTTCAGGTAAAACTAGGCTTTGAAAATTCTGCTTTCATCTCTGATACAATAAGCATCACCCTGACAAACATTCAGGTCCTGCCATGCAGAACTCAGTTTGTTTATAGACAGTAGAAATTGAAACTTTTTGATTCTCAGTATATCCTCAAGTGTCCTCAGACATGACACTTTGTCCCTAAAATCCTTCACCATGTTGAGAAAAAGTTGCTGTAAATCAGGACATCATGTAAAGCATTTAGTAAAATCTGCTTGGTTAAAAAGTGTATATGCTGCATCCTCTTATATGCTAGACCTATTTACAGATCACATACAGGATATTTTAGTAGCAGTAACCATAAACCTCAATGAAGTGTAACAACACAGAAAAACATTGACTTCTGTCAGCTATTTTCTCTATGAGTGGACATTGTGGCTATAGCTGCAGTCATAAAGAGCAGGCAGACATGGTTGTTTCCTTCCTTTGGGTCATTTGATCTGACCTCCGGTGTGCCTGGACCTCCTTTTCAGGAAATCTAAAGAGACACCTGCGGGTTCACAGCGGGGAGAAACCGTACGTCTGCGCCCACTGCCAGAGAGCTTTCAGTGACCCCGGAGCTCTGCAGCGGCACGAGCGCATCCACACAGGTTCTCCCATTTAGGACGGGCTCATTCGTCCAAGCGACATGCCCAAATTTCCCTGAAATGCAGATGAATCTGGTCTAAATGCGTTCTTTTTCCTGTTACAGGAGAGAAGCCCTGTGTGTGTCTGGTCTGCGGGAAGGCTTTCACCCAGGCCAGCTCCCTCATTGCTCACGTTCGCCAGCACACTGGAGAGAAGCCCTATGTCTGTGATCGCTGTGGCAAAAGGTCAGCGTGACAAGACAGAACAGACACAGCAGTACTGCACTAACGGGTCATGGCTCAAACTGACCTGCTAATGAGGAACAGTCACAGATTATTCAGCGGGGAAATGTCTGGGGAGAGCATGTTTGTTTAACATTTGGGCCCGCTGGATCACCGTGTCACATTTGTGAGTGTGAAAGATTCCCACAGAGCTGTGAACTGTTTTCTTTTTGTATTTCTCTCTTGGCAGATTTGTGCAGTCCAGCCAACTGGCCAATCACATACGCCATCACGACAACGTGCGCCCACACAAATGTCAGATGTGCAACAAGGCTTTTGTCAATGTGGGAGACCTGTCGAAGCACATCATCATTCACACAGGTAAAGGGCCATGTTTGGGCCAATAATCGCCAGGCTCCAGGCTAGAGGAGGCCCGGCTTCCGCTTCCACATCTACACGCTGAGGTGTTTGGCTAATGACTCTTTCGGTCTTGCTTCAGGGGAGAAGCCTTTCCTGTGTGACAAATGCGGTCGAGGTTTCAACCGCGTGGACAACCTTCGCTCCCACGTCAAGACGGTCCACCAGGGCAAGGCCGGCATGAAGCGGCTGATAGTGGCCGGTGGCTCGGTGGTGGAGGACAGTGACGGGTGCGCGGGGACATCAACCTCTGACGGCGAGATCAAGATTGTTACGGTCACCACCGAGGACATCGTCACCCTGGCAACAGAGGCCCTGGCGGCCAGTGCTGTCGCTCAGCTCACAGGTCAGACAGCTTCCTTTAAGGCCGGGGTTTGAAATTTCTGAGTGAAATGACACCACACCAGGCCGGACTCAACACAAGCGACCCACTTTTCCTGAAATCAAAGCGATTAGCCGGCTTAGTATTTGTTTTTCCATGTGTTGGTCAACAGTTGTTCCAGTGGCCACTTCAGTGTCTTCAGATGAAACCGAGGCTTTGAAAGCTGAAATCACCAAAGCAGTCGAGAAAGTGCAAGAAGCAGGTAAGTAATGGAACATCTCGTACAAACGACAAGAAAATGAAAATAAAACTCTTTATTTAGTACCAAACTTGGGCTGTTTGAGTTGTAGTTTGGAAGTGTGTCAGGGTTATGCCCCTAAACACTTCTAAACTCATTGCTCTAAGAG